TTCCATATACCCGGTCGGGTATGAAGTGATTTCTGACCAAAGAACGTGCAGAAGACACAAAAACATGGGAAAATATTTGATTTGGTAAATACCCGGTCGGGTATGTCAAAATACCCGGCCGGGTATCCGGAATTAGGTGTTGAAAACACCTATAAATAACCCCATTTTCCTTCACTTTTAAACATCCCTTCTTCCATACTCTTAAGCTCAGTTTAGAATAGTATTTCTTTTATATTTTTATAGCATGTTTAGTCTCCAAATGAGGAGCTAAACTCTTCCATCTTGGTTTTGCTACTTTGAAGCTTAATGAATTTGTAAGTTGTGAGTTATTCTCTTTAATCTTCTTCCTTGAATATTAATTCTTCCTTTAAATACTATTTCTATATCAATGTTGGGGAGTGTTACTAAGATGACAATTAGTTAACATCTTGACATTAGTTATAGTAATAATTATTTCTTCCTCTACGTTAATATTGGGGAGTGTTACTAAGATGACAATTAGTTAACATCTTGATATTAACTATAGTAGGATTCATCTTCTTTAATATTCTTTCTTGAGTATTAATTAACTCCTATTCATATTTCATATTAATATTTTGAACATTACTTAAAGGATCAACTAGTTTTGTTTCATATATTAATTAATACTAGAATCGGTCGATTAATACGCTTGTTATTAATTCGGTCCTTTCATGGTAGTAAACTTGGATTATTAATGCATGCATCTCATGGTTAATAATCTAAGGGGAATTAATTATATTGATTAAACCAATAAACCGCTTGTGTTGAGGTTATCAATCTCAATCGTTTTCATCTTAAGTTTATTGCTACTATCAAGTTAATACACGGCGCTTGTTCTATATTGACTCGATAGTAAGTTTTATTAATGAACGCTTCTCGTTATTAATAACTACCCTCGATGAACTGGATATACTCCTCGATTGAGTATTCGAGAGGAAGATAGTTAAAGATATAACCGGGATCGACGAACATTTCATTAAGTGGATAAAAGCAAAGCCAAGTCTCCTTCTTATTAATTAAACCACATAACTCGTTCATCTTCGTGTTTAATTTATTAAACCAAATCGAACTAAAACCCCCCATTTTGTTACTAGTTCTATAAAAAGAAAAGTATTCCTTTCCCTGTGGATACGAACCTTACTCCATTATACTACGTATAATTGTTGTATTGTATTATTATTTTGAGTGCACATCACGACAAAGTGCACGTCAAATTTGGCGCCGTTGCCGGGGAAAGGCAATTATTTTTCTTTTTATTTTATTTCAAGAAAAAAAAAAATTAACTAAAAATATAAAGAGTTCTTATTTTCTATTTCTGAGCTTTGTTTGAGTATATGGTTAAACACCGATCTATAAACCAAATCACCTACCAAACAAATCCCGAAATAGAACAAGCCTTCGAGAGGTTGAGAAATTTATTTCCGCACACACCTTCGGAGGAATCCTCAAACGCCAGCTCTAGCTCTAGCGAATCCGAAGAGTCATTCCACATGGCTCTCGAGACAAGGACCTTAAGGGAGCTCACCGCTCCCAACCTCAATCAACAACCGTTATGTATTACCTTCCCTACACTCAATGAGGGTAATACATTTGAGCTAAAATCTGGGCTCATTCATCTATTGCCATCTTTTCATGGCCTGAGAGGAGAAGACCCGAACAAACATCTCTCGGAATTCCATATTGTTTGCACGAGCATGTGCCCAAATGGAGTCACCGAGGAGCAAATCAAATTGAGGGCTTTTCCATTCTCCCTTAAAGACACCGCAAAGGATTGGCTATTCTATCTTCCTTCGGGGAGTATAGATACATGGGCAGCAATGAAGAAATGCTTCCTAGAAAGGTATTATCCCGCTTCTGTCTCATCATCTTTGAAAAAACAAATAAGCAACATTGATCAAAAAGATGATGAGTCCTTATATGAATATTGGGAGCGATTCAAAAAGTTGTGTGCTAGCTGCCCATATCATGGGTACACTGAGCAAGACCCCATCCTTTACTTTTATGATGGTCTTGCGGATCAAGATAGGCGCATGGTCAATGCGGCAAGTGGAGGGGGAATTGTTAACAAAACCCCTTCTCAAGCAAGAAATCTCATCTCGGAGTTGGCCGAGAATTCTAGATACTACAATGGGCGATCCTCAACCCGAAGGGTTGCCGTGGCGGAATCCAACACCTCGTTGGAAAGTCAAGTGGCCGGCTTGACTTCTTTGGTTAAAGATTTTCTCTTAAAACCCAAAACCCAAGAAGTCAAGGTTTGCGGCATATGTTCAACACAAGGGCATCCGACCGATTCATGTCCATCAATACAAGAGGAGAATTTTGAGCAAGTCAACGCCTTGGGTTTCCAAGGACATCAACAAAGGAGGTACGACTCATTCTCAAACTCTTACAACCACGGATTGAGGGATCATCCAAACTTGAGGTACGGAAACCCCCAACAATCCAACCCATCTTCTCAACCACCTTTCAACAATCAAGGCTCAAATTCTCAACCTAGTATGTCAACTGATGACATGATAAGAGCTTTGACTTCAAACATGGTTACCATGCAACAAAGCATGGGACAATTTCAACAAACCATGATACAATTCCAACATGAAACAAAGTCAAGCATTAAAAATTTGGAAACTCAAGTTAGTCAAATTTCAAATGCCGTAAACCGATTGGAAGCAAAGGACTCGGGTAAACTCCCATCTCAAACGGAGCAAAACCCGAGACAACATGTGAATGCAATCATGTTGAAGGAGGTAGAAAAGAATGACCAAGAGATCGAGGAGGTTGATCATGAAGAAGAAGCTCAATCTGAAGAGAGAACCACAAAGGCGAAACTTCCTCCATTTTCATCGTATGAACCAGTAGCCCCATTCCCCGAGGCATTGATGGAGACAAGGAAGCTGGAAAAAGATACTGACATCTATAAAACTTTCGCCAAGTGTGAGGTAAACATTCCACTCCTTAACTCAATTAAAAATGTTCCCCGTTTTGCTAAATTTTTAAAAGAATTATGCAAAACAAAACAAAAGGATAAGTCGAAAGAAAAGCAAGAGGTCAAGGTTAATGAACATGTATCGGCTCTATTTCAAAAGAAACTTCCCGAAAAATGTAGCGACCCGGGCATGTTCACCATACCTTGCAAGATAGGGAACACCGTATTTTCTAAAGCCTTGTTGGATTTGGGAGCATCAATAAATGTCATTCCTCATTCCTTGTATAAATCCTTACAACTCGGCCCACTACATCAAACTAGTGTGGTGATTCAACTAGCGGATCGATCTAATATTTACCCGAAAGGTGTAATAGAAGATGTGCTAGTAGAAGTTGAAAATTTGGTTTTCCCTGTTGATTTCTATGTTCTTGAAATGGGGGATGACAACCAAACAACACCCATTCTCTTGGGAAGGCCTTTTCTGAAAACCGCCAAAACAAAAATTGATGTGTCTAGTGGTTCATTAACAATAGAATTTGATAACCAAAAAGTAGAATTCAACATCTTTGATTCTACTAAAAAACAAATTAAAAATCAATCCCTCTGTTCTTTAAATGTTTTTGAACCACCAACACTGAATATTTTTGTTGAAGAAGAACCAAAAAAATCTATTTTGAAAGGAAAATCACCTACTATTGGGGTGGTGACAAGGAAGAAAATTCGACCTTACTGGAAAAGGCCGAAAAAGAAAGCTGAAACGTGTCGCAACATGGCCTTTGAAAATCAAACAAGGGATATTCACGATCCCACATAAAAACAAAAAAAAAATTAATAAATAAATAAACGTCGTGCCGCGACATTAAATCAAGCGCTTTTTGGAAGGCAACCCAAGTTTTTTTTACATTGTGTGTTGTTTATTTTGAGTGCTTGTTAGAGAGTGAACAATTTTATTTTCAAAAAAAAAAAAAAAAAAACAGTTTTTTTGATGAGGCCTGGAAAAAACCCGACCGGGTATTTGTAAAACCCGGCCGGGTAAAACGCAAAACAACCACTGCTTTAGAAAAAAAAACGAAAACCCGACCGGGTATTTGTAAAACCCGGCCGGGTAACACCGGCGAAACAGCCACTGCTTTAGACGAACGAAATACCCATTCGGGTATAAGGAATACCCGGCCGGGTATACGGGCATTTTAACCCCAAATCAGCCCCAAAACCTCCCATCTTCTTCCCCAAATTTGAGAGCTCAAACAAAAACCTCCATTGTTGAGCAAACAAGCTTCGAACCCGCCCTTTTCGTCCATTAAAAACCCAAACTAACACCATAATCTTCTTCCCCACATCACCCTCTCCATTTCTACACCCAACAAAACCACCAAATCCCCCTATACCCAAAAATCCGAAAACCCTACCCCCCACCTCAAAAACCCGATTTTTAGCTCCAAATAACCCAAGAAAAATCCCATTTCTTGTTCTCCCCATCATCCTCTACACCTCCACACCCTCAAAAACACCCCAACCCCAAAAAGTCCGAATTTTTCACTCCCCCAAGTTCCAAGTCCGAAATTTCAACCCAAGTCCAAGAAAAAAGGCAACCATGGCACCAAAGAGAACTAGAGCATCTTCCTCCAACTCAAATGCTCCAATTCCACAAGTCCCCGGGTACGAGAGCATCGATTTCACCTCTAGGGCTCATCACAAGAAATTCCTCACCCAACTCAACCGAGAGGTACATTCAAGCCGATTTCTTTGTCATGAAACATTGAGAGCATTGATGTTGTATGATATGATGCTAGATTTGTGCAACAACATAGGACTTACTACACTGTTCAATATGTCCTATAATATCTACAAGAGAATTGTGTATGAGTTCCTAGCCTCCGTTGAATTTACTGATAACGATGAGGACACCTATGAGAGCAAACTCACGTTTCGGTATAACAACATACCAAGAACTTTAACGAAACGTGAGTTTGCCGAGCTATTCGGTTTACCGATTTTAGGTGTGGAGGAAAGAAAGGCAAGGAATGATAAAACAATTGTGCATGATTTGTGGCGAAGAATGACAGGGGTTAGGGTCTTTAAATCATCACATATGCATGTTACACATGTTCAACACCCTGCCCTTCGAATTGCACTAAAATGGTTTGGGTATAATGTCTTTGGGAAGCCAAATAATCATCAAACAAGAATTAGTGAATTGGCCGTTCTTGCTATGGGTATCTTTCCAGAAGCTCCTAGATTAGATGTTGCCTCATGTTTATGGGAACATCTCAGAACACAATGTGAAGCTATGAATGAAATTTACATAGGAGGGTACATACACCATATTTGTACTAAATTTGGCTATCATGCGAATAGAGAAGTAGAAGCATGGAATTTCCTTAATCTTGACTTTCTACTCACTGCACATGATTTGAGTCACTCCCACACTTTTGGGACCACGACATTTTACCATTGGACCATACACCCCTCACCCACACAAGTTTTTACAATCCCCTCCGACGCACTCCCCAACATTTTTAACCATCACATCGGGGATAGGAGACACCTTTGCTTGCCCGGAACCACCCCTGACCACTATCTTGATGAAATCCCTCAACTTGATCCCCCACCCATCCCCAGCCCACCACAAGGTCAACCACAAGCTGACCCCCAACACCCTCAATATAGTTCATTTGAGCAACAGATGCTCCACAGCATGAGTGCCCTAAACCTCAACTACACCCAATTTCGGGAGGAATTTGGACTGTTTCGCACTGAGCACAGGCAGAGTATAGAGCGATTGGAGGAGCAAATACAAGATCAGCGGCAGCAATACGACAACGACCGTCGGAGGTATGAAGAGGATCACAGGAGGACCTACGGCCCTATATACTCTTACATTGCACATCAAGGTTCCTTTTCTTCTATGGCCACCCCTCCCCCACCACCCTCTTGGTATGACCCCACAGCATGGGGTACTTTTGGTGGATCGACCTCAGGTGGGGGAGGCGGTGATGGCGGATACGGCGGCGGCTCAGACACAAACGACGATGAGTATCCATATGCGGGTGGTTTTCATGACAGATATTATGGCCAGGGTGGATTCTTTGATGGAGGAGATGCTGGCGGGCACTAGGGACAGTGCCATAAACTAGCTGGGGGGGAGAACTATTCTGGTACACTCCCATTTCATACTCTTTATTCTTGCCTTTAAAAAAAAAAACACACAAAACAAAGCTTGTTAGGTTGAAAACCCAAAAGGGCAACTTAAGCAAAACAAAAGCAAAAAGAAGAGTAAGTTGGTGAGAATAAAAAAGGGAAATGTGGGAAGCTGGGATGAAAACCCGAAAGGGCACCTAGGCAAAATGAGAGAATGAGAGAAAGTATTTTCTTTTATCTTTGCAGAATCTTAAGGGCATATACATGAGGAAGCAAAAGAAGAGAAATCTAATGGTGTTGAAGACCTTTTTATGTGTTTTTGATCATTGAAACATTTTTATGTTGATTTTCAAAAAACACTTGTGAATGGTTGTGATTGCTACTATTGTTGGTTCGGAAACTTCATGGACAGGATTTGTTTTACTCGAGACGAGTAAAAGTTCAAGTGCGGGGGTGTTTGATAGGCACTAGTTATTAGTGCCTAAGTGTACATTTTTATTATCATTTGTAATATTTATTTACTAGTATTATGCAAGTTTGTAGTTGTTAGTTTGCATTTGATTGTAATCGTATTTTTAGTATTTTATTGTTTGTTGTAAGTTATAGTTAGTTGAGCTATAAGTTTAGGATAGGTTTGGAAGCAAGAAGGATGGAAAAACCTGAGTTTTATGCAAAACCCGGTCGGGTATGGACTTTACCCGGCCGGGTATGAAGTGACAAAGGAAACTGCTGCAAAACTAGCAAATACCCGGTCGGGTATTCCATATACCCGGTCGGGTATGAAGTGATTTCTGACCAAAGAACGTGCAGAAGACACAAAAACATGGGAAAATATTTGATTTGGTAAATACCCGGTCGGGTATGTCAAAATACCCGGCCGGGTATCCGGAATTAGGTGTTGAAAACACCTATAAATAACCCCATTTTCCTTCACTTTTAAACATCCCTTCTTCCATACTCTTAAGCTCAGTTTAGAATAGTATTTCTTTTATATTTTTATAGCATGTTTAGTCTCCAAATGAGGAGCTAAACTCTTCCATCTTGGTTTTGCTACTTTGAAGCTTAATGAATTTGTAAGTTGTGAGTTATTCTCTTTAATCTTCTTCCTTGAATATTAATTCTTCCTTTAAATACTATTTCTATATCAATGTTGGGGAGTGTTACTAAGATGACAATTAGTTAACATCTTGACATTAGTTATAGTAATAATTATTTCTTCCTCTACGTTAATATTGGGGAGTGTTACTAAGATGACAATTAGTTAACATCTTGATATTAACTATAGTAGGATTCATCTTCTTTAATATTCTTTCTTGAGTATTAATTAACTCCTATTCATATTTCATATTAATATTTTGAACATTACTTAAAGGATCAACTAGTTTTGTTTCATATATTAATTAATACTAGAATCGGTCGATTAATACGCTTGTTATTAATTCGGTCCTTTCATGGTAGTAAACTTGGATTATTAATGCATGCATCTCATGGTTAATAATCTAAGGGGAATTAATTATATTGATTAAACCAATAAACCGCTTGTGTTGAGGTTATCAATCTCAATCGTTTTCATCTTAAGTTTATTGCTACTATCAAGTTAATACACGGCGCTTGTTCTATATTGACTCGATAGTAAGTTTTATTAATGAACGCTTCTCGTTATTAATAACTACCCTCGATGAACTGGATATACTCCTCGATTGAGTATTCGAGAGGAAGATAGTTAAAGATATAACCGGGATCGACGAACATTTCATTAAGTGGATAAAAGCAAAGCCAAGTCTCCTTCTTATTAATTAAACCACATAACTCGTTCATCTTCGTGTTTAATTTATTAAACCAAATCGAACTAAAACCCCCCATTTTGTTACTAGTTCTATAAAAAGAAAAGTATTCCTTTCCCTGTGGATACGAACCTTACTCCATTATACTACGTATAATTGTTGTATTGTATTATTATTTTGAGTGCACATCACGACAAAGTGCACGTCATTCTCCCCTTTCAATGCTTGTTCAACCACTTGGGCGAAAGTCATATTAGGCAATTGCGTTGCCCTATCACGTATCTCCAAGTCAAGAGCGTCCCAAAAGTGGTTCACCATGCGGTTCTCGTCACAAGCATACTCCGGTATGTAGTCGGCGAGATCCCGGAACTTGTACTCCAGCTCCTTCACTGACATGTTACCCCCTTGGGTTAGGAGGGTGTATTCCCTCACCTTCTTATTCACCTCGAAATCAGAATAGTATTGGGCAAAGAACTCCCGTTGGAAGTCCTCCCAAACAACGGTCTCACCGTACTTGTTCTTGGTTCCATCCCACCACTTGGATGCCATCCCCTCGAGCAATCTTACCGCAATTCTCAGTTTGAGATTCGGCGCGATTTGCATGTCAAGGGCTGCTTCATTTAGCCTCTTGATCCATTGTGCTGCGACTGAAATGTCCCCTGCTCCATCAAAGGGTTTGCACCCCAAATCTCTTGCTTCTTTGATAAATTTGGAGATCCTTATGGTTGGACCTCCATCACTTTGGCCTCCATGTGGTTCCACATGGACTCTAGATGCACCATGACTCCCTCCTCTTGAAGCCATGCCCGAAGGTTGCCCCACTCGGCGTCTTCGGCGTTGCCTCCTCTCTTCACGCTCCCGGTGGTATTGTTGGAGTAGTGCTTCGATCCGTGCTAAGGAGCCATTTCCCTCCTCATCACTTACATCGTCATCATCCCCTTCATAAGGGGTCTCAACCGGCTCTGTCTCCGGTTGGTAAGTCGAGTCCTCATAGGACCAGTAGGTCTCACTTTCTGTGTCAACATGACCGTCACTCACGGTCTGTGATCGGCCTCCACGGTCAGCTCCTCTAGATGCCCTAGAGGTCCTTCGACTGCCCTGTCCAGTCTCCACTGGTACACGGCCCGTCGGGTTCCTCCTAGTAATCCTGCCACCACGGTCCATTTCTGAAAGAAATTTGGAAAGAGTCGTTAGACTCGTATCAAATGTCAATTGACGGATAGGTACTTAAGACACATTTTGGCTCGAGTCACCGCCATACCAATTGCTAAGGGTACCATCTTAACAATTAGAGACCTTGCGACCCAAGTACCAAAAGCTCTCCAAGTACAAAACTTCTATGCTCATGGTTTTCAAAATCTTTTCAAAAAGAGAATTTTGAGACTTCATTATGAAGTTTATGAACCTGGCTCTGATACCAACTTAATTGTCACGCCCCGGACCTCCCCGGACACGTCAACAACCCGCCGTACAATACGAATAGTCGACCGCAGTCCAACACATTCATATTATACAAGGCGTCATGAATATCATTCACACATAAGTCATCCATAAACAACATAATAAGTAATTCATAAAGCAGCGGAAAACATTGTTTAAAACAAAAGGGCCACACAGGGCTATTCATGAGCACGCAGGCTCTATAATAAAATATCCATGAGCATGTTTATTAATGTTTAAAATCCGAATGGAGGAAGCACGAACCAAGTCTTCGCTCCTAGATGATCTCTCGAGCAACGAGCACAGGAAGCAAGCTCTAGCCTCAACCTGAAAAATGGTGGTGGGACGCCCCCGAAGGGGTCAGCACTCTATAGGGCTATAAAGTGCTGGTGTGGCAGGCATCTAATAGATATACAACAAGTATTTCAAACACAAGACCCTCAAATAGGGTGATAGTATATTATGATTGTAACCCTAAGTTACCCCGTTTAAAAATATACTTACTTTATATAAAAGTCAAGTAGCCGGCCCGTGGGCCCATGTTCATTTGGAAATCACCATTCCCAACCCCGTGACTAAAAGCCACGACAACTCCTAGAGTCCAACCCTAGTACATGACATTGTGTTAGTCTCCAATTTTGATAGATTTTGATGATGCCACTATACTAAACAAATTTACATTGAGTCTTATTTTCAGAAGTAACATTTTAATTTAAATCATAAGTGACAAAAATAAATGTACAATCTTTAAGATTAATGATATATTACCGGATACATAAAAATGCAATAAGGTATCTTTTTACCTTTATAGGATATTTAAATCCTACCGGCATATATCATTTTACTTAAAGATTAAATATAGGTCACATTTGAGATGCTCGAATACACTGAATATTGATTGGAAGACAAAAATTAAATACATGGTCCTACAGCATGGGAGGACTTCTTGGAGTGAAGCTGCAGCGGCTGAAGACACACCCATACCGCAGCCCAATCATTCAAGACAGAAAACAAAAAGATTAAAAGCTCCTGCACAAGAAGACGAATGTACAATTCGTCCTAGCCAGACCCTCAACGCACAAGATTAATCCATCTCAACCAACGGATGAGATTAATCAACCATGAAGGCCTATAAATATAGGTAGAAGCATGAGTTCAAAAATAAGCTTGAGCATCCTAAGTAGAGAAATACTTTCATCAAAGCATATACGAGCTATCTAGCAAAAGAGAAAGTGCAAACTCAACTTTACTCTCTGCTTAGCCTCATGCTTCACTAAGCTCTTAGATTAGATCAACACTTTCACATTTTTAGAGCTTAGTTCATAGTTGGAGGTTAGAACTTTCTTGTAAACATTACACAAGTGGTTGTAAACACTTAGGAGAACAGTTGTTCGGATCCTAAAGTGTGGGTAGATAGATAGAGTACCTTTTGATCCCCACTGGATCGATTGAGAAAAGTCTAAGGACTGAGTAACTTTGAGTGGTGTTATACTCATTGTGAAAAACCTTCAATCTAGGCCTAAGTGTTGTAAAGGCTAGATTGGCACTAAGTGTATTGGGCTGAATACTTTAGTGAAATCCATCTGAAAGAGGGTGGGACTGGATGTAGGAGGATTACACCACCTCTGAACCAGGATACATCGTGTGTTGATTCTCCTTTACTCACCACAGCACACACCCAATACTTCTCACTAAAGGGATCGTAGTTTGCCAGCAGCATCCTAAGCAGTCGTCTTAATTGACTCTACTGCTTATCCTACTGCTTAATAACTCACTTTTCCTTGAGACTTCTGTTTCCCACAAGCTTTAAATATCACTACTAAAAGGTGTGATTGGTCAGTCCTCAAAGATACTTCTTTATAAGCAGCAGACGGCTTAGCAGTTTCCTGGGATTACCCAACTGCTCAGACCACTGCTCAGGCAAAACTCTTTACTACCTTCAGCTCAACATATATTCAAAAAGCCCTCATCATTCTCTGCAAGGCCATATTATCATCTTTCTCAAACTTCTATTTTCAACTGGCAGTTGCCTCAGCAGTTCCTTGCCATCTAGCTAACTGCCAAGCCAACTGCTCACAGTTTGAAGTCCAAACATCATTGAAGGTAGAAAGTTGTCACACACTCATTAGAAAAAGGGTAAAGACTTCCGCTGTGCATCTATTAATCTCTCAAAAGATTATAGATCAATTCATCTAGAGGTAAAACTTGAAAAAGGTGAAAAAGATTTAAAAGTCTATTCACCCCCCCCCCCCTCTAGACTTTTACCCTATCCAGGACCATCAAGTGGTATCAGAGCAGAGTGTTCCTAGAGTCAGTTTTTGACTAATTTGAACTAAAGATCCAAACCACTCTACTTCCAAACGCTTTCTAGAAATGGACAGTCAGTTAGCCAAAAATCTTCTATTCAACTTGAACAAATTTGACGACTGGAAAATACGAATGAGAGCACATCTCAGTGCTTTACATGATGAGATGCTTGAAGTAATTACTGATGGACCTATCAAAATAATGAAGGTCATCACATCCAGAACCACAGAAGGGACAGATGATGTGTACATTCCAAAACCCAAAATGGAATGGACAACTGAAGACAGGAAGAGAAACAATCTTGATAACATTGCCAAAGATATTCTCTTTAAATCTGTTGATGAATCCATATTTCCTAGAATCAGGAAATGTGAAACTGCAAAGGATGTATGGGATGAGCTCACAAAGATTGGAGCAGGGGATGAACAGGAAAAAGACAACAAACTAACCATAGCCCTCAAGAAATTTGAGGATTTCAAAATGATGACAAATGAATCTATCCATGAGATGGAGTCCAGATTCTTGAAGATAGTGGCAGAGGTCACAGACCTGGGGAAAGATCTATCCCAAAAGGAAATTTCCCTTAAAGTCTTGAGAGGCCTGCCATCAAAGTGGGACATGAAGGTAACTGCTATGAGAGATAGCAGAGATCTCAGAACTTTGTCAACCGACAAACTCTTCAGTGATCTCAAGGCCTATGAATTTGAAATGAAGGAGATAAAAGAAGAAAAGGAAGATGAATCCAAGACACTAGCTCTAGTTTCTGAGCCTGGCCCGTCAAGATCTAGTGAAAAATCCCTCAACAACCTCCTTACTGACGAGCAGTTCGCTATGTTTGTAAGGAAGTTTAAAAGGTTCATGAAAAAGGAGGGAACTGCTCCAAAAAGACCATACAATCTACCACCCAGGAAACAAGGGAGACCTCAAACCAACGAGGAAACTGTCCTGTGCTACAACTGTAGACAACCAGGACATTACAAAAATGAATGCCCTCTGCCCTTAGCCCAGAAGTATCAAGGGCAGCAGGGGACTGGTCCCAAAGCTGGTTATAAGAAGGACTTCAAAGGCAAGAGGCAAGCCTTTGTAAGTGAAAAGAAAAAGGAGGAACCCCAATCTGAAGATGAAAGCAGTTCAAGTGATGAAAGCTCTTCATCTGAAAGCTCAGAGGAAGCACTTCTATGCCTAGGATCCTGGCAGATGGCTGAAAAAGGCGGCAGCTGGCTCACTGAAGAAGGCGGCAGCTGGCTCACTGAAAAAAGCAGCAGATGGCTCAGTGAAGATGATGAATGCAGCTCCCCTAAATGCCTAATGGCCAAGGACCACTACAATGATGTTGAGGTAACATCTTGCTCTTCTTATAGCTCCAGTGATTCTGGACCAACCAATATTACACTGGAATCTTTATTACAAGATTTCCAAAAAGTCCAAAATCACCATGTTCTCTTAAGATCAGAAAATGATAGATTAAAACAAGACATTAAGGCTATTCATACTAAATTGTTAGATGCCTTAACCAAAAACAATGTCTTAGAAGAAGAGAACAAAGAGCTGAAACACAAAATGACTAACTTCAGCATGGACAGTAAAACCCTTGACTCTACTGCTGAAGTTGTTCTAAATAGGAAGAAAAGAGGGCTCGGATATGTATCCCCCACCAGACTCATTCAAAACTCACCCTCCACAAGCCACCAACAAAATACAAGAAAGCTAATCTACCAAAAATCCCATTCTCAAAAAGTCCCCATAAGAAGGAACCTGCATGCTCCCAAATCAAAATCCAATCTCCTGTACAAACAAAAACTTCCCAGCCATCAAAACCCAAGAACCCGTTGGCAATCAACCAATAAGACCAACCACAGTCAAAATACTAAGCAGTCTCCTCCAAAAGCCAATAATCCATTTTCCGCTTCAAGAAGAAAAAGGATTAACAAATACATAGCCATCCCCCATGATTATAATACTTCAAATGGCTATAGACCAATCTGCTTAGAACTAAATGGTTCTAGATGGGCATGGATGCCCAAACTTGTACAAAGGAAGTTGCCCACTAACTTGTGGGCTACTGCTCAACAATGATGAATACAGGAAGGTGCTGGAGCAGTTGACTCACAGACTTGGTACATAGATTCAGGCTGCTCCAGGCACATGACAGGCAGCAGGCGGCTCCTGTCAAACTATATGGCAAGCGAAGGACCCAAAGTTACTTTTGGGAATGTGGAAAAACAAGGAGAAACCAAAGGAGCTGGAGACCTATCCATCAATGGACTTACAATCCAAAACATATCTTATGTTAAAGGATTAAAGTTCAATCTCATAAGCACAAGCCAGCTCTGTGACAATGGCTATAATGTTACATTCTCCAAAGACATCTGCTTGATTAGAGATGTCAAAAATGACAAAATTGTGCTCACTGGTAGAAGGAAGAAGGACATGTACATTGTTGATTGGAGCTCAGCAAAGGAAGGGATCTGCTTGGTGACAAAGGCAGATTCAAATTTGAGTTGGGAATGGCACAACAAATTAAGCCATCTCAACTTCAAAACAATCAACAAATTGTCCAGAAAAGGATTGGTGAAAGGACTTCCTGAGATCAATTTCAAGAAGGACCATCTCTGTGATGCTTGCCAAAAAGGGAAACAAACCAAGGTATCATTCAAATCAAAGGAACTGGAAACATCAACTAGGCCCTTAAGCCTACTACACCTTGACTTGTTTGGACCAGTTGAACCAACAAGTTTAAGTGGTAGAAGATACACACTGGTGATAGTTGATGATTATTCTAGATACACTTGGACCGTATTCTTAAAGAAGAAGAATGAAACAGAAAAGAAGCTTCCTGAATTGATGAGACTAATCCAAAATGAGAAAAGCCTCTCAATTCAAAAGATCCGGTCAGATAGAGGTACTGAATTTATTAATTCTATAATAATTCAGTACTGTGAAGAAAATGGAATCCATCACCAGACCTCAGCAGCAAGAACACCTCAACAAAATGGTGTTGCTGAAAGAAGGAATAGAAC